CCGATTCACGTAAAAAAACAACTGCTTACCAAACGTTCGGCCGATTCACTGACGGGCAAGATTAAGAAACGAGAAAGGGAAATGACGGTTGACATCCCGGTTTAAATACATGGTGTATGTGCTTGCGTGAGCGCGCTTATCAATACAGAATCGACTGTATTCAAGTAAGGTGGAATACAATAATGTTTACTTCAATTAATAAATAGGCGTGTGTAATAATGATGGTAATAACGGAGTTTATTAAAATTTGTGAAATTACCGTTGATCGTATAATCATATTATTAACATTAAAAGATGTAATAATAATAATAATGATGGAAAGAGCAGTATTACTTGTAACAACAATTATCCAATAATGAAGAGAGTATCAATAATAATTACCACAATCATTATAACAATAACCATAATAATAACCAACAAGAACTAGGCCCTCTTCAAGCAAGAATGCACTTCCAATGCACAATGCGGTTCCCGCGACCTAGGTCTTCCTACCGGCACTTTCACGCCCAACCGTCGCCGTGGTCTGCTTGCCTGACCCGATGTGACCCCAAACCCGGGGGAACTCCAAAGCAAGCAATCCAAGGTCATCGTGTATTTCCTGAGAGCCGTACAGCCGAAGGGTCAATTTCCCAGACCGAAATCCTCACATGGGAAACACTGAAACGGTTTTCCTCACGCCAACCTTCCATACCTTTTCCCCAGCGCCTCGCACGCCAAAAGGCACGGAGGTAGAGGGCAGTGAAACACACGAGACGACGACGACAACCCTTCACAGTAGCTCCCAATCATAGAGCAGTTAATCCTCTTAATGAACCCACATCCGCAAACACTGCTGTTAAGCCGGCGATCCGCGCAGTACGAAATTAATGGTCACACCTGCCATGCTGATATGATTTCCACGATTCATCCAATAATTCTACAGATCGCTTGTCGATATCTCGTTAATTAGAACCGTGATATCGAGCCTTGATTTTACTTTGTGATACTTTATCAAAGTGTGCTGTTCTAACGTTGTCCTGTATTAAAATGATTGTCCTTAAATATGCAAGTTCATTGTCCAAAAGCAAATTGTCAGCGGTTTAATATCTACAATTGAAAACGTGCATTGCTGACTGCAATTATAAAGAAATAATAAGCAATTGCATTTCGTTATAAAATGCAATGATTATTCGGGCAGTTCAGAAATTTCTAAACACCAAACCAATTCATGCTACAGAATATCAATACCACCCTTCTCCATTATACCGTACTGACACATGGCTACAGACCACAACCATGAAAGCCAAACCATCTACTCACTGTAGGAAAGAATCAGGAAAGAATACAACAAGCGGTAACAAAGAATAGGCCTACGTCGCACCAAACGACCGAATCACATGGTTTGACCAGCAACTTCAGGGGTTTCTTAGTTAATCGTCTAAAGCTCGTCCACACCTAACATGCACTTCACTACAGGGAAGGAAAGCGCTACACACAACCGGCAACAAAGAACACTTACCTGAATCAGTGAAGAGAGATGGCATAATCCACGGTTTTAGAGAATTATAAGGAAATCCACGGTTTTAAGCTTTCACACACACATACACTGGCGTTATCCCAACACGGCCGTAAGCGAACACTTCCAGCTTAAAATATTAATTTCCGACTGGGATTCAGGCCACCAACGCACTTCTAACCCATCCACCTCTTTTCCTCAGCACTTTACGCCTCACTCCAACCTTTTCCTCGCACTCGTTAGGCCGTAATTTCCTCTCGATTTACCTCCCTCTCATAGAAGACCCGGCGAGAGAACACCACATAGAACCGCTCGCAACGCCTCGGTCACATACACTGACTCGACTTCGCCACATTTGACAACGTCGCAGAGCACTTAAGGTCACGTGACTCCAAATCGCGCGCTGATTGGCTGTCGTCGCCGCGCTCCAATGTGGCGGGAAAAACGTCACGTTCAAAAAGGAACCTCGAGCTCACTCAACATTCTTTGTGATTGACTGCGTGTCAGCGGCTTCGCCCCGTCCGTATTTATCTCTTAGCCGATACTTCCCGGCCGATAAACCCACCCTCCGATATTCTTCGGCATCGGTGTAACGCGCCGAATTGCCGATTTAAAAGACCGCCCTTAAGACCGATCGCTCCCCCCACGGTCTTATCTCCATTACAATCATTTGCAAAATCGTGGGCCATCAGTCACCAATACAGGATCTTAGGGAGCGTTTGTAACGGGCGCGCTGATTGGCCGGGAGCGCCTTCAACACGGGCTTGTTTAATAATAGAACCAATGGCGTCGCCCCGTTCTACTCGCAGCGGCTGGTAGATTCACCTCCCCACTTATCACTGCGCAACTGTTAATTAACAACTTATTTGGCCATTTTAACCCCAATTTACATCAAAAAAGGAAATTTTCATCTAGAAAAAAGTGGAGAAAATAAATCCGAAGGAAAAACAAGCCTAGACGGCCAAACAAGAGGAAAAAAATAAAGAGAAAAGATGTGGACTCGACTGATGTAAACAAAACACAGGAACAGCTGAGAGGAGGCGCTGCTTGGGGGAAGAAGCATCAATAAAACGCCATTTTCCGCGGGTCTATCCACTGTGCAGGGGTTTTCTACGTTTATATTTCTTCATCGCATTACATTCATTTAGTCATTATGAATAACCAAGTCAAACCATTCAGGGAAAGGAGGAGTTTCGGTAAGTAAAGAAATGAAGGTCTTTTGCGTTCTTTGTCTATCAACCATTTTCAGAAGTGCGTCATTATTTCACCAGCCTTTGCAATTCTCTTTTCGCTTCGCATTTTGCTATTTATTGTTTGATATTTTTGCATTTATTAAGTTTGAGAATTCTTTCTTACTTATGATTTTATTTATTGATTATTTGCTATTTCATCAGCCTTGAAGATCCTTCTTCAGAGCGTCGTGTTTTGCTATATGTATTAAGTTTTCTTTTTGTCTTTTGGATTGTAGGCTTCTCACTTTTATTATAATCTGCTTATACTTGAGCTTTATCGCCATATGTGTATAGAATAATGGAACTTTGGAAATATTATATACTTATAATTTTGGCTATTTCCATACTTTAAGAGTGATTTTATTTATTATTTTCAGTTGAAACTTGTGCAAATAGGAAGTTTAAGTTTAAGTATTATGCATCTATCTATAGCATTTATGAAAACCAAAAACTGTAGCTTCATTTTCTGTAGGAGTCATTCTGATCCAGCAGTGAGAAGTTTCCATTGCATGTAGACTTAAGGGTGTAATATATACTTCAGCTAATGTGTTGTGTTACATAAATTTTGCACTTCACTGAATAGTATGCCATTATAGTTTCCTCCTTTGACATTGGGGCTCGTAAGCCTTAGCTGGGAAGACGTATGGTTAGAGAGTGTGTAGCATTCATGATTTTATTGGAAATGAATATTGATATCCTTTATGTGGTATTGTCGTCATGCCTATAATCCATTGCTCAAAAGGAGCCATTTACAAGAAAATGTGGCTATTATTGAACAAACGACAAGACTAGAACTTGTAAGAGAAGAGTGAACATTTGGGAATCGAGCAAGAGCTAACAAACCTGTACCACATATTATCTGGCTAAGTAGAGCTTGGGCTAGGTCATAACTTGATTGTAAATGACTGGGGAGATCTTGAAGCTCTATCTTGCCAGAATATCTGAGATGATTTGTTAGCCTTTGGCAGCGGCTAATGTGATCATCTGATTGATAAGTGATTGTGGGTTTGGCATGGCAAGTGCTTAATATGTTACTGTGAGCCTACCATAAGTTTCTTCAGATCACTATGTATACTGAATAGTCATGTATAACAGTTATTACCATTACCCTTGTTTCTCGCTATGTACCACATTTCAAGATTTTCTTGCTAGATAATGTAAGGCCTTTATTTACCTAAATATTTAATCCTTGTTTTTAGATCTTGTAAATTTTGAGATGTATCTGAATGCACAGATATATTATGTGTTCATTACATTGATTCTCCATGATTATAGATGATCAGTATCATTGGTCATTGGTTTGTCAAGGTGTTGAAGTTCAACATATGATTTAAAATTTATTAGTTGGTGTTTATATCACTAAAACAGCAACACTTCACAACATGCCAATATGTTATTTTACATTTATAAGTTAAGATCTGCACACCAACATGTGCAGGCTTATAAAGGCAAAAGCAAAATAATAGAGAGATAATGATTATGTATCATGCCAAATTTCCATAATAATTCCATGTCTTTCCATAATGTTTTTATGATGTGTGTTGTGAGCATCTTGCCATTCACAGAAATTCATGAATTGTCCTTACAAGCAATGTAGACAAATGTGAGTTTTTACCCCACTTTCTCTTTCTCTCTCTCTCTCTCTCTCTCTCTCTCTCTCTCTCTCTCTCTCTCTCTCTCTCTCTCTCTCTCTCTCTCTCTCTCTCTCTCTCTCTCTCCCCCTCTGTCTCTTCTCTCTCCTCTCTCCCCTCTCCCTTCTCTCTCCCCTCTTCCTCCTTGCTCCCCTTATCCCCTCTGTCCTCCTTCCTCCTTTGTCTCCTTTCCTTCTTCCTCCACATGCCCCCCCTTCCTTTGTCTTTCCCAATTCCTTCGTCTCTCACCATTACCCCTCTTCCTCCCTGTCACCCCTCTTCAGAGATTATCTAAACAAGGAAAGAATGCAGATTTTTTCATTGATTGTAGTCTGCAGCCATTACCCAGTGAATTTTTAATATTTAGTTTTTAGAATTAATTTTTGCTTGAATATTACACAAGATTAAAAACTGCTAGGATTTCAATTTACAGTGCATTTGGCAATCAGTATTCTCATTCTACAGATAGTATATACTGCATAATTTTTTTGGTCTGTTTAGTTTTGTATCATGTATCAGTGTGATTAAGAGGTAAAAACCTTAACACTTAATCTTTTAATTGCTTTGACTCCCCACCAGCCCAGAGACAGCGAGATGTAGAGCAGATACGAGAGCAGCACCCCAACAAGGTTCCCGTGATTATTGAACGGTATCCTGGGGAGAGGCACCTTCCTCTCCTCGACAAGACCAAGTTCCTTGTGCCAGATCATGTGACAATGGGGGAACTCGTCAAGATTCTAAGGCAGGTGTTCATGTTTGTTTGGTTTGATGAACACTGTTGATATTCTTTTGGTAGTACCATTTGTTGCTTAGAATGATCTTTTAGTTTTACGGTTATAATTTTGAAACCACATGGATCACTTGCTGTGAGGTTTCAACAGGTACCATTTTTATCACTATACACTCACTCACTCTTAATATGGTGTCTGATCAAGTAGTGGAACAGAAGTTTACAAAAAGTCTGTGGAATCCTCCAAAGCAACCCATGTATATATATATACAAGACGTAAGAAATTAATGCATGAATTGAGTTATTTGTTCAGTAAAAATGGAATTCTCTAGAGTTTAGTTTTATGAGAATATATTGTCATCCATCATAGAAATTTCATTAATCAAATATTATATTCTTTTGCTAGAAATAAAGAATGTTCTTTAATGATATGAATGAGACGTGATGAAATGCCAAAAGTGATTGATTCTGAATCCTTATTGATAGAAGTAAATGTGTTACAGGCGTCGTCTGCAATTGCACCCAACCCAAGCTTTCTTCCTCCTGATTAATCAGCGTGCTTTAGCTAGTGTCTCAAATACTTTGGCTCAGGTATGAGTATATCTTATTTTTGTTTTTGATATCTGTCTGAATATCATAAGTTCTGCATTACAAATTTTCTGTCTTTTGGTATAATTTGAAAGACTAAGAAAAAGGGATTTACAGCTAAGATTTATCATTTCTTTTATGCCAGGTATACGAACACCACCACCATGAGGATGGATTCCTGTACATGGTTTATGCTTCTCAGGAGGTGTTTGGTCAATGATGCTTGTGACGCAAGTTGGATGATCATCCGTGCTTTTTCTGATTGGAGAACTAACTGTTGCTTTCCATAGAAGGTCCATACACTTCTTCACCTTCCTCTTTCATTCTTCTTCACCTTCTCCATCTCTTTATCCTTTTTTTATTCTCAGAGTGAATGGACTAAGAAAATGGACAGCGATTTTTCTCTCCTTGTTTAGGGTTAAGGCAACACTACATGATATTCTGTGTATAAAATCTTCAGCATATGAGTGATTTGAAGGATATATTGTCTATGAGTGGTAGTGAATGGTATCCATGGGTTAGCAATTAGAGAACTGTAGTTCTTAATAAATGAAGAAGGTGGTTTTTAAATGATGTTACACAAGGAATTTCTCAAGTGCACTTGTGTCATAATAAACATTTTTGATGATTGGTGCATTTAGTAATTGTAACTCTAGAAATATTTATTTTTTCTTTATTTTACCTCATGGTATATCCCCATATCTGTAAGTTATGTACAAGCTGCAGATATATTTCTAATGTAATAAAATTATCGAATATGGAATACTGGTATAGAGAATCAAATATTAACTGTATCAAATTAGTTATTGGGAATGTTATAAAATTTCAATTGACTTAGGTCCAATTGTAAAAGAAATATTTTATACCTGACTAGTTCTAACTGCATTACTATTACAATGACAGCTATCTTATGTTGGTTTGATACACATTTTTTTCATCGCTTCATTTGTTATTACACTAAATTTTAAAAAAATTAATGTTCACCACATCCCCCCCCCCATCAAACCTATTGCTTCATTCAGTATTATTTTGCAGCAGTTAGCACCAGGTTTTGTTATCTTTGCTCTGGTTGCCGTCATTTGTTATCAGAGGTGACAATTCACATAAAGTCAGTAAATGTCATTTTTGCCAACTTTTCTCCATTCTCTAAGAAAACCAAGAGTGTATATTAGCAACTATTTTACCAGCTCATTCATATATTTTATAAGTAGGTCAATGAACCCCCTGTTTTTGTGTATCAATAAGTGTTTTTTTTTTTTAGAGTTGAATTCAGTTTTGTTCACGGCTTTCTCATTCTGTACTTAATGCTTTGCTGCGTAAGGGGAGAAATAGCTTATTTCTTTGAAGGGGATTCAAGAAATCTGACGGGATCATATTTAAAGGAATTTTTCATGCCCATTTCAACTGTGGGGCAAAAAGGGATGCAGCCTCTTCTCCTCTTGAATCTTTTTACAGTTGCAACTTTGTTTTCTGATGACAGGATCTCAGTAACTGGCATTGCCAGGTGTTCACTTGAAGGTCAAGTTTGAACCATAGCATTTGGACTGTCCAATCACTAGTACTTCCATGAGTGTTATGAGAGACTGGAAGGCATGATTATGCAGTTGGTATGGAATGCTGTGCTATTTTAATGTTATCTGTATGGTACGTATTATCGTATATTACCCATTGTGGGTGGTACCAAGCAGGCATTGTAGAATCTGTTTTGAAGTTATCGTTAAGAAACAAAGACTTGCTCCTTGTTATGTCATCATGATCAAGTTGTCCAAGAACTATTACTGTGGACAAGATGTTCATAAACTTGAGTGTTCATCATTTATATAT